TCTTGGTTTTGCCGCCTTGAACGAGTCTCTCATTGTTCCTTTATTCCCTCAAGGAGCAAAGCTTCCCTTCTTATCCATTTTACTTTCAATTTCTGGAAAACAGTGTCAACCCCTGAGTTAAGCTGACACTTAATCATTTGTCACAGTCAACTGTTTCTTTCTTCTCTCTTCCTTGTTCTTTATTTCCCAGCTTTGATCTTCATTCAGGGATGTTGTCACTGGCTTGTTGTCTGTTGTAAGCTGCCCAGAGAGCTTTGGCATTTTCAGCAAAGTAAATCAATCAATAAATTTCAGTCTTTTGAATTCAAAGCTGAAAACCTAGTTTTTAAAAACAAAAAAAAATCCCTTAGATGGGAGCACAGCTCAACTGAAAGCAATTTTTTTTTCCAAAATATTCTTCCATTTAGAAAAAGGACCTACATTTTAGGGCCACTCTTACCCTTCTGAAGTTAATAATCTCCGGTGATTTTTTTTTCCCCAAACAAAGAGGCAAACTTAAACAGAGCAGGAGTTTGTGCAACACAGTGAAAAGGTCGAATAATTTGTAGTTCAGCAACTGGAAGAAATGCAGCCATTGTCTTCCCGCTTAGCCATAGCAAATTGTTCGTCTGCTTCAGTTGAACAGAACAGAATAGAAAATGGAGAATAGAATAGAATAGAATAGAATAGAATAGAATAGAATAGAAAATGGAGAATAGAATAGAATAGAAGAGAAGAGAAGAGAAGAGAAGAGAAGAGAAAATGGAGAATAGAATAGAATAGAAAATGGAGAAAGACTAGAAGAATAGAATAGAATAGAACAGAATAGAACAGAACAGAATAGAATAGAATAGAATAGAATAGAATAGAATAGAATAGAATAGAAAATGGAGAATAAAATAGAATAGAAAATGGAGAAAGACTAGAAGAATAGAATAGAATAGAATAGAATAGAATAGAATAGAATAGAATAGAATAGAATAGAATAGAATAGAAAATGGAGAAAGAGTAGAATAGAATAGAATAGAATAGAATAGAATAGAATAGAATAGAATAGAATAGAATAGAATAGAAAATGGAGAAATAGAACAGATTCTATTGTTCAGCGAATCGTTGCAGAATCAAGTGGCCGTTAAGCGAAGTCGGTCTTCCACCGTTGACTTTGCTTGTCGGAGCTGCTTGAGTAGATCGCAAAGGGCAGTCATGTAATTCCAGGCTGCTACAACTGTTGTGAATACAGATGGTCCTTGACTTAGAACTGTTCATTTAGTGACTGTTTGAAGTTGCAACCACAACTGAGCCCAAAATTTCTGCCGCTAAGTGCATGGTTAAATTTAAAGATGTTAATTCTTTTGTCATTGTTGCTCTCTACCTCTGTAGGTTGACTCTGCCTTCCATCCTTCCGAGGTCGGTCGGTAAAATGAGGACCCTAATTGTTGGGGGGGCAATAGGCTGACTCTGTAAACTGCTTAGAGAGGGCTGTAAAGCACTGTGATGCAGTATATAAATCTAAGTGCTATTGTAAAGGGAGGGAGGGAGGGAGGGAGGGAGGGAGGGAGGANAGGAAGGAAGGAAGGAAGGAAGGAAGGAAGGAAGGAAGGAAGGAAGGAAGGAAGGAAGGAAGGAGCTATGGTTGTGCAGTGGTTAGAATGCAATGCCACAAGCTAACTCACTACTCACTGCCAACAGTTCGATCCTGACCGGCTCAAGATTGACTTGAGTCATTGCAATAGGTGCCTTACATCCACCAGCTTTACCTGGCCAGCTTTACCACCTTGTATCAGCCTAATTTCTAGGGATGGTGCATTTCAGCCACGTGCCTCTGAGCATTTGACAGACGAGGGAATTCTTTTCCTTTCAAATTTTCCTTTTTTTCCCAGAGTTACTGACTTTGCACCGCATGGGCTCCACGCAGGAGAGCACAAGCAGGGTCTTTTTTAAAAAAAAATATCTAAGCATTGTTTTGATTTCCCAGGTGGACCTTGAAGATAAGAGAAAAACTCTGAAGGGGGAGTTTAAAATTTCTCCTTTCTCGTGGTTTTAATGAATCAGGGAAGATAGCAGAACACTAGTGGGAGGAGTATCTCCGAAGTAGCTGGAGAGAGAAGAAAGAGAGGGAGGCCTTCATTTAAAAAGCTCTTTTCCTTCGGAGGATGCTCAGACTGCATTGAGCGGCCTGAAGTACCCAGAAGCAATCATTTTAAATGGATGTTTTCCATTTAAGCCAAGATTTATAATCTCTCTTTAAAGGAGGAACTATCTTCTAGCCAAAGCCATTGCTAAACAGAAATAAAGAAATAAAGCTTCAAGAGATGGGCAGGGCGATTGGGAGGAAGTTTCTAAACTCCATTTCCATCAACTCAGCTGTCGGAAGAAGAAAGATCAATGTAATCTTTTTATACAGGGCTGTTTAAAAAAATAGACATATATTTGTTCAGTGTGTATGATTTATGACAGATAGGATGAATGTTCAAAGAGCTTTTTTGGTCTGCTTGTGATCAAAGTGATAATAGAATTTGTTATGGCAAAGAGCCGGCTGTTCCTTCCGTCCTTGCTTAGTGCAACAAGCAAGTTCTCCTCCTCTTCCTCCTTCTTCTCATTCTCCTCCTCCTCCTCCTCCTCCTCCTCTTCTTCTCATTCTCTTTCTCCTCCTCCTACTCCTCCTCCTCTTCTTCTTCTCATTCTTCTTCTCCTCCTCCTCCTCTTCTTCTTCTTCTTCTACTACTTACTTCTACTTCTGCTTCTATTTTTTCTTCTTCTTCTCATTCTTCTTCTCCTCTTCCTCCTCCTCTTCTCCTTCTTCTTCTCCTCTTCCTCCTTATTCTTCTTCTTCTACTTCTACTCTCATTCTTCTTCTCATTCTTCTCCTCCTCCTCTTCCTCCTCCTCTTCTCTTCCTCCTTTTCTTCTCATTCTTCTTCTACTTCTACTTCTCATTCTTCTTCTTCTCATTCTTCTTCTCCTCCTCTTCCTCCTCCTCCTTCTCCTTCTCTTCCTCCTCCTCCTCCTCCTCCTCCTCCTCTTCTTCTTCTTCTTCTCCTCTTCTTATTCTTATTCTTCTTCTACTATTTCTCATTCTTCTTCTTCTCATTCTTCTCCTCCTCTTTCTCATCCTCCTCCTCTTCTCTTCCTCCTCTTCTTCTTCTCATTCTTCTTCTCCTCTTCCTCCTCTTCTTATTCTTATTCTTCTTCTACTTCTACTTCTCATTCTTCTTCTCCTCTTCCTCCTCATCCCCTCCTCCTCCTTCTCTTCCTCCTCCTCCTCCTTCTTCTCCTCCTCCTCCTCCTCTTCTTCTTCTTCTTCTCATTCTTCTTCTTCTTCTCCTCCTCCTCTTCTCCTCTTCCTCCTCCTCCTCATCTCCTCCTCCTCCTCCTCCTCCTCCTCCTCCTCCTCTTCTTCTTCTTCTTCTTCTTCTTCTTCTTCTTCTTCTTCTTCTTCTTCTTCTTCTTCTTCTTCTTCTTCTTCTTCTTCTTCTTTTTCTTTTTCTTCTTCTCCTCCTCCTCCTCCTCCTCCTCCTCCTCTTTCTTTGTTGCATTGCAAATACATCTGCATGTCATTCCCCACCCAGCAAAAATGCCACATACCCAAATGACTTTGAGGAGAGACAAAGTCTGTTTGCCTATGACTGTTATCCTTTGGATTACTCTTGTGTACCGTATAGCTCCTTGCTCACCATTTTTAACTGTGAAATGTGAATTGTAAAGAAAGGAGGGAGGGAGGGAGAGAGGGAAGAAGGAAGGAAGGAAGGAAGGAAGGAAGGAAGGAAGGAAGGAAGGAAGGAAGGAAGGAAGGAAGGAAGGAAGGAAGGAAGGAAGGGAGACAATAGGAGTGTCTTTCCACTTCAAATATAGGTAGCCCTCAACTTATAACTGCCCAAAATTTACATTGCTAAGTGAGACGTGTGTTAAGTGAGTTTTGCTCTATTTTACGACTTTTCTTGCCACCCTTGCTAAGTTAGTAACACGACTGTTAAGTGAATCTGGCTTCCCCGTTGACTTTGCTTGTCAGGAACATGGCAAAAGCAGATCACATAACCCAGGACTCAGCAACCGTCATAAATATGAGTCAGTTGCCAAGCATCCGAACATTGATCACGTGATCAAGGAGATGGGGCAACGGTCAGGAGTATGGAAAACGGTCATAAGTCACTTTTTTTCAGTGCCGTCGTAACTCTGGACTGTCACTAAATGAACTGGTGTAAGTCGAGGGTAATCCGTGACCATTCTGGAGTTGGCTGGAATGTAAACGGGAATTCTGCCTTCACCAAGTCTCACCCTTGGCTCTTTTATGGCTCGTGGACTTCAACTCCCAGAATTCCTGAGCAAGCATGGCTCAGCTTGGAAACTCTCCCTTTCTCCTCAGCATCGCTGGCTCAGGAATTCTGGGAGTTGAAGTCCACGAGTCATAAAAGAGCCAAGGTTGCCTACCCCTGACCTTGGGGAATGCTGCCACAGTCGTTAATTGGTTGTAATTCACTTTTTTCAGTGCTGTTGCATGTTTGAATGGTTGCTAAATGAGGACCCACCTGTAATCCAGTCTGCTCTTTTGTGTGGAAACAAGAAATAAGGTGTTGTGTAGTTTCTGGGATTCTTTTGAACCTATTAATAGAAGCTCCAGAGGGGGACTTCCGAACGGAGACATCGCCAACTTTCTGAGATGCAGTGATTCTCTTAATAACTGCACCTAAAATAAAATCGAGCATTGCTTGCTTAACAACTGCCTTGCTTAGCCATGGAAGTTCTGGCCCCAACTGTGGGTCGTAAGCCCAGGACTTCCTGTATGTTTTTGCCAATGAGTAAACCTTGTGTCACCAACTTCTATGCCTTATGCCAGGGGTAGGCAACCTTGGCTCTTTTATGACTCGTGGACTTCAACTCCCAGAATTCCTGAGCCAGCATGGCTCAGCTTGGAAACCTCTCCATTTCTCCTCAGCATGGCTGGCTCAGGAATTCTGGGAGTTGAAGTCCACGAGTCATAAAAGAGCCAAGGTTGCCTACCCCTGACCTAGGTCCTTGCTGGATCTGCTGTTTTTCTTTCTCTTCAACATTTGAATGATTGCTAACCCACGTTTCATCTTTTGTTTTGACAGGCAAGGATTACTTCAAGGAAAAAGTCTGCAATGAATACAACGCATTTGGAGAAAGGAATTTTCGCTCCTTGTAGGTGTTTTGAAGACGGATTCTTTTCGGCTTTCAGAGTTCAGAATATTGGTGTAGCGTTTTTAACTATACTGTATACTTGCTGTGCATGGAAATCTTTGGTGCCCCAAAAGATGGCATCAAAGTACAGATAGTCCTGGATTTGCGACCACAACGGAGCCCAAAATTTCCGTTGCTAAGCGAGACGGTTGTTAAGTGAATTTTGCCCCATTTTACAACCTTTATTGCCACACCTGTTAAGTGAATCACTGCAAATGCTAAGTTAGTAACTCGGTTGTTAAGTGAATCCGGGCTTCCCTCTTGGCTTTGCTTGTCAGAAGGTCGCAAAAGGGGATCATCACATGATTCCGGGACACTGTGACCGTCATAAGTGTGAACCAGTTGCCAAGGGTCCAAATTTTGATCACGTGCCCATGGGGATGCTGCAAAGGTCATAACTGTGAAAAATGGTCATAAGTCACCTTTGTCATGGCTCCGACAGATGAAACTCTTCAAAAGAACTTTGAGGCATTGTTTATCTTAAATAATCTTTTATTCGACAAAACAAAGTATCGGCACTACATAGTTAAAGCCAAAAACTGAATTCCCCTCCCCTAGGTACAAAGTAGCAAAGCACAATTCCCTCCTCCAATTAACAGTATAAATCACATTCCCCAATTAGTTTGAAGCCCGGGCTTTCTCCCCAGCTCTCCAGCCCGCCAAAACTCTATCAACTCTGGGCCCAATGACCTTGAGTTCCCAGGCTGAGTTATTATTGTTATGACTAGCTGGACTCTTACCCACATTCTCCCTCCCAGCATCAACTAACTCTAAAAGCGACAGAGGAACAATGACTGCATTTCTATCTGTTGTCAAAGCAAGAACATCCGATGTTAGCAGCGTTGACAACCTTTTTCAGTGCCGTTGTAACTTTGAACAGTCACTAAATGAACTGTTGTAAGTTGAAGACCACCTGTATCAGCAAGAAATAAGAAATACAGGTAGTCCTCGACTTACGGCTGATCGCTTACCGACTGTTCTAAGTTACAACAGATTCCCCCAATCTGTTATGACCTGATTTCGAAGTTACAACAGCCACACACACAAACACAAACACAAACACACATATCATGGTCCTACGATCACAGTTTGGGCACTTGGCAACCGGACTCACGTTTATGGCTATTTTGCAGTCACATGACCACTATTGTTGGTGATATTTTTTTTTTGCCAGTTTCCGGCATTTACTTCCTGTTTCCAGAAAAGAAACACCCGTTGCGTAAAATAAATTCACTGAACAACTACTACATTCGGATAACAACTGCCGCAAAAAAAAAAATGCTGCGAAATGGGGGAATCTGGTCACGTAAGTGACCATTTAACAACTGCAACGATTTACAATCATCATTCCAGGCTCAAGTATAGTCATAAGTGGAGGACTAGCTGTATTGCTAAGGGACACAAAGTGTCTGCAAGATTCTAGAATATATGGGGTTTTCGAGCCAGGGATATCCACAAGGAAAGAGTCCAAAAAGTTAAGATGGTGACTGCCTTGCAGTTAAAGCTGTGTCTCTTTTTAATATGCATCTGCTTGGGGGGGGAAAGCTCTCCATGGTGGCCCAGCTTTAGCCGCACAACTGCAACAAACAGACCTTTAAATTCAGGTGTCAGGTCAGTTTGCTTTGAAGAATAGTATAGCGCTCGAAGAGACCTTGGAGGTCTTCTAGTCCAGCCCCCTCCTCAAGCAAAAGACTCTAGTCCAGTGATGGCGAGCCTTTTAGAGACCGAGTGCCCAAACTGCAACCCAAAACCTACTTATGCATCGTCGGGTGCCGGGTGGGTGTGGCCCATTGGGTGGGCGTGGCCCATTGGGTGGGTGTGGCTGCCGTGGTAACGGCAGACTGGGTGGGAATAAAAAGTTCAATCAATCAATTCCAACTTTGCAAGATCTTTTTTTTCCCCGCGAGAAGTTGAAATTGACTGATTGATTGAACCTTTTTTTTTTTTTTTGCACACGGCGGCGGAGGCCTAAAGTGAAAAGGTTTTATAAAACCCAGCTGAAGGCCTAGGACTGGGGTGACGGCGCGGGTGCCCACAGAGAGGGCTCTGAATGCCGCCTCTGGCACCCGTGCCATAGGTTCACCACCACTGCCCTACACCATTTCAGACAAATGGCTGTCCAGTCTCTTCTTAAAAACTTCCAGTGTTGGAGCATTCACAGCTTCTGGAGGCAGGTTGTTCCACTGATCAATTGTTCTCACCGTTAGGAAGTTTCTCCTTAGTTCTAGGTTGCTTCTCTCCTTGATTAGTTTCCATCCATTGTTACTTGTCCTGCCCTCTGGTGCTTTGGAAAATAAGTTGACCCCCTCCTCTTTGTGGCAGC